CTCTCTCTCTCTCTCTCTCTCTCTCTCTCTCTCTCTCTCAAGAATAAATAAACATTAAAAAGATTTAAAAAGAAAGAAAAGAAAAGAAAAACTGGAGGGACCAAAATTCCAGACTTCAAGTTATATTACAAAACTGTAGTAATCAAAACAGGATGGTACTGACACAAAAACATAGATCAGTAGAACAGAATACAGAGCCCAGATATAAACCCACAATTCTATGATCAATTAATCTTCAAGAATATACAATGGGAAAAAGACAGTCTCTTCAACAAATGGTGTTGGGAAAACTGGACAGCTACATGCAAAAAAATGAAAACGGATCACTTTCTGAAACTGTACACAAAAATAAACTCAAAATGGATTAAGGATCTAAATGTAAGACGTGAAACCATAAAAATCCTAGAAGAGAGCACAGGCAGTAATTTCTCTGACATTGGCCATAATAATATGTTTTTAGATATGTCCTCTGCGGCAAGGGAAACAAAAGCAAAAATAAACTATTGGAACTACATCAAAATAAAAAGTCTGCACAGCAAAGGTAACAACCAACAAAACTAAAAGACAACCTATGGAATGGGAGAAGATGTTTGCAAATGACTTATCTAACAAAAGGTTAGTATCCAAAATATACAAAGAACTTATACAACTCAACACCTAAAAAATAAATAATCCAATTAAAAACCGGCAGAAGACATTTGCAACTACGTGGATGGAACTGGAGGGTATTATGCTGAGCGAAGTTAGTCAGACAAAGACAAATATCATGTAACCTCACTCATGTGGAATTTAAGATACAAAATGGATGAACATAAGGGAAGGGAAGTTAAAACAATAGAAAAACGTGGAGGGGGACAAAACCTAAGAGACTCTTAAATACAGGGAACTAACTGAGGGTTGCTGGAGGGGCTGTGGATGGGGGGGATGGGCTAAATGGGTAAGGGGCCTTAAGGAAGACACTTGTTGGGCTGAGTACTGGGTGTTATACATAGGGGATGAATCACTGGAATCTACTCCTGAAAACATTATTGCACTATATGCTAACTAACTTGGATGTGTATTATAAATAAACAAATAAATATGGGGTGCCTGGGTGGCTCAGTTCGTTAAGTGTCCGACTTCGGCTCAGGTCATGATCTCACAGTCCGTGAGTTCAAGCCCCGCGTCAGGCTCTGTGCGGACAGCTCTGAGCCTGAAGCCTGCTTTGGATTCTGTGTCTCCCTCTCTCTACCCCTCCCCTGCTCATGCTCTGTCTCTCTCTGTCTCAAAAAAAATTTTTTTTTAATTAAAAAATAAATAAATAACAATGGGCAGAAGACATGAACAGACATTCCTCCAAAGATGACATCCAGATGGCCAACAGACACATAAAAAATAAAAAGATGTTCAAAATCACTCATCAGGTAAATGCAAATCAAAACCACAATGAGATATTATTACCTCACACCTGTCAGAATGTCTAAAATCAAAAGCTCTACGTTAACTAAAATTTAAATTAAAAAAAAAAAGTAGGGGATGGGCTCAAGAAACAACAAATGTTGTTGAGGATGTCAAGAAACAGAACAACTGTGCATTGCTGGTGGGAATGCAAACTGGTACACCACTGTGGGAGACAGTATGGACGTTCCTCAAAAAATTAAAAACAGAACTACCCTATGATCCAGTAATCACACTACTGGGAATTTACCCAAATACAAAAACACCAATTCAAAGGGATACATGCACCCCTATGTTTACTGCAGCATAATTTACAATAGCCAAATTATGGAAGCAGCCTAAGTGTCCATCAACAGATGAACAGATAAAGAAGATGTGGTATATATACACAATAGAATATCATTGAGCCATAAGAAAGAATGAAATCTTGCCATCTGCAGCAACATGTATGGATCTAGAGTGAAATGCTGAACGAAATAAGCCAGTCAGAGAAACGCAAATACCATTTGATTTCACTCATGTGGAATTTAAGAAACAAATGAACAAAGGAAAAAACAAAAAAAAGACAAAACAAAACCAGACTGAACTACAGAGAACAAACTGATGATTATCAGAGGGGAGGTGTGGGGGGATGGGTGAAGTAGTTAAAGGGGATTAAGAGTACACTTATCTTGATGAGAACTGAATAATATATGGGATTTTTGAACCACTATAAGGTATACCTGAAACTAATACAACACTGTATTTAAGTTTACTAGTATTAAAAAAATAAAAATGAAAAAAACCACACGTCATCATCAAAAGATAAATAAATAAATAAATAGATAGATAGATAGATAGATAGATAAATAAAATGGCGCTGGAATACCTGGATTGCCACATGCAAAAGAATGAAGTTGGAACCTTACTTCATATCATGTGCAAAAATTAATTCAAAATGTATCAAAGACCTAAATGTAAGAACATTAACAGTATAAAACTTTTAGGAAAAAAACATAGGGGTAAACTTCATGACCTTGGATTTGGCAATGGATTCTTGGATATGACAGCAACAAAAGAACAACAGAAAAACTGGGCTTCATCAAAATTAAAAAATCATGTGTGTCAAAGGATACTATCAAGAGAGTGAAAACATTGGGGCACCTGGGTGGCTCAGTTGGTTAAACATCTGACTCTTGATTTCAGCTCAGGTCATGATCTCATGATTCACAAGACTGAGATTGAGCCCCACATCGAGTTCAATGTTGGCAGCTTGGAGCCTGCTTGGAATTCATTCTCTTCCTCTCTCTCTGTCCCTCCCCCTCTCGTGTTCTCTCCCTCTCAAAAAGTAAATAAATGGCTTAAAAAAAAAAGAGTAAAAAGGCAACCCATAGGATGGAAGTATTTGCAAATCATATATCTGGTTAAGAGACTGAAATCAAATAAGAACTCCAGGAGCTTCCAGGTTGGGGAACACATGGGAGGCGCTAGGAGAATGGTGGTGCACCTGGAGAGGGAACGGGAGCTCTGCGCCCCTTCCACATACCTTCCTCTAGGTATCCCCTCCATCTGGGTGTTCCTGGGTTACATACCCTTTTATAGTAAACTGACAATCTAGGTAAAGCTCAGAAGAGCCTTGTGAATTCTCCAGATTCCTCTTCCTCTGTATCAGTGACAAGTTGGATGGCAGATGGTGTTAACTTCACTCAATTGGATTCCTGAGGGACCAGTGGAGCATGCCCCCCCTGCCAAACTGTGTTGGATTTGCATCACGTAAAGGAAACAAACACTGTTGTGTTAAGGCACTGGCATGTAGAGGTTAATCTGTAATACAGTATATCTAGCCTGTCCTAATTAATACTAAAATCAGTACCAGTGAACAACAAAAAAGAATCTATACAAAACACTTTATCTACATAAAGAACTTTACATAAAAATTCCATATATGTTCTATATAAGAATTTTATCTATACAAAGAATTCTTACAACTCATTAATAAAAAGACAAATAGTTCAAAATAGAAAAAGGATCCCAACACACTATTTTCCAAAGAAGATACATAATGATAAATAAGCAAATGAAAATATGCTCTTATTTTAGTTAAACACAAAGGTGATATATGACCCAGCAATTCCATTCCTAGGTACATACTGAAGAAAAAATAAAACCTATGTCTACACAAAAACTTATGCATGAATGTTTACAGTAGCATTATTCATGTTGCCAGAAGGTGGAAACAAGCCAAATATCCAATGATTGATGAATGGATAACCAAATGTAGTACATCCATACAATGGAATATTACTCAGCCAAAAAAGGAATGAAGGACTGATACATGCTATAATGTGGATGAACCTCAAAAACAGGATGCTAACTGAAAGAAGCCAGTCACAAAAGACCACATATTACATTATTTCATTTAAATGAAGTATCAAGGGGCACCTGGGTGGCTCAGTTGGTTAAGCGTCCAATTCTTGGTTTTGGCTCAGGTCACAATCTCACAGTTTCGTGGGTTTGAGTCTCATGTCAGGCTCTGCACTGGTGGCACAGAGTCTGCTTAGGATTCTCCTCTCTCCCTCACTCTCTGCCTCTAACCTCCTCACACTGTTTCTGTCTCTCTCAAAATAAATAAATAAAACTTAAAAAAAGACATTTAATAAATGAAATATCAAGAGTAGGCAAATTAACAAAGACAGAAAGTAGATTAGTGGTTGCTTAGGGCTGGGAGATGGGAAACAGGGGTGTGATAGCTAAAGAGTACAGGATCTCTTTTGTAGGTGATAAAAATGTTTTAAAATTGGCTGTGGCAATTGTTACACATTATCTGTGAATACACTAAAAACCACTGAATTGTTAACTTTGGGTCAACTGTAAGGCATGTGAGTTATATCTTAAAGTTGTGTAAATAAAAATAGTAACAGAAAATTTCAGAGTACAGCTAATGAAACTTTGTCTGTATTCACACTGTGCATCCACACTTATATTACGTTAGTCTCCAATAAATATCTTTTACTGAAGTCAAGTAAGCCTAGCAAATTTCTTCCAGAAAGCCATAAGGATTCCTAACTCCAAGAATTTATACACATCCATTCCTAGAGCTTGCTTTTGCCATCCTCCTGCCTAACCCACACTTCAAATATACTTCAGAGGGGCTGGTTCATGCTGGGAAAACATGCCTTCTTAAGTTATGCCACATCTCTTTAGACTATGATTTTCATTTAACTCCTAAAACATTAACTAGATTGGTCATGCAATTTTATACAGCCTTGAACTTTGATTCTTATCTTTCCATGTAAAACCTATGTTCCTGAAAAGCATCTGATTTCTAGTGCCTTTGAATTTCTTCTTGAAAGGCACTAAAGACATGATTGTTGAGTGAATCAGTAAGAAACTTTTTTTCTCTTTGTGGCTCACTATTACTTAATGAGTTGTCGAATACTTACTACACGTTCAGCACAGGTGCAAGAGGGAATAGGAACTGCCAACTAGGTGGAAGCATAAGTCTCAGCCACCAGCCAATTAAAAACAAAAAACAAAGAAACTGAGATTTCACTTCCCTTGACTCCCCCCTGCTAGATTTTTACCTGGATAGATCCAATCTGATACATCTCTCTTTATTATCCATGGCTCTTCTCCTTGTTCCAACTTGGAGATGACATCTGGTTTGGAAACTGGATGCCCTATTATAGAGAAATCAGAGAGGAATTGGGTTGACTGCAGTGAAGAAAAAAAAGGGTGCTATTTTAGGAGCCCCACAATGAAGCTGTCCAGCTACCCCCAGCAGAGTAATAACCCGCTGGAGAGGAGATTGGGGAATAGAGAGCACAAAATCAGTCATTACATATGTCAGGAACCCACCCAATTTGATCAAATGAGAAGAGATAAGCACTGGATTAGATATGCTGAGATATGCGGGGAAGCCATCCTTACCCAATGAGATCACGTGGCTGAAGTTCTCCAGCATCACATCTCTATACAGGGTCCTCTGAGCAGGGTCCAGTTGCTGCCACTCCTCCTTAGTGAAAGCTACAGCCACATCCTCAAATGACAATGGACCCTATAATAGCATGCTCCTGTTCAATCTGAAGTGATCATTCCTATTTTTACCACAGCATGCAAAACTATGTGCCCAGTTCTATGTAGTGCCTATTCAGAAAAATGATGTGAAATTTTGTCTTTAGCAAAAAGAGTCAAACATATCAGAAGAACAGAAGAGCAAAAGAGACTTACTCACAAATGGGACTTCAATAAAGGCAGCATTTTAAATAAGTAACTTGTTCAATAAATGGTACTGGAAAAAGTGGATAGTCATTCAGTTAAATAAGAAAGTTGAGACTTTATGTTTTAAAAACAAGAAACAGTTTCCAGATGGGGGAAAAAAAAATCTAAGCATTGCAAATTATTAATACTGGCTATCCCAGGAGAAAGGGAATTTTAAAATCCTTTTCACTTTATCTTATTTATGTATGTATGTATGTATGTATGTATGTATGTATGTATGTATTTCTTAAATGTTTTTACCAAGTAGGGATAATTCAGGCTAGGACAAAAAAAATAGTAAAATGATTTTATAAATTGAAAAAAATAGGGCAAGAACTGACATTCAGTTGGGGAGTAGCTTCACAAACCCTGAGACCACAGCAAAGGCTATAGAAAATCAGAGACCCCTGTGCTCCAAATGTTTACCACAGAATTTTAAGTACAGAACTGCCTATTTGAAAGAAATAATCATATAGAGACAATTAGATACTCATCATTCCATCTTATCTAGGTTTTATCTCTGGATAAACTGTACCTTAATTCTCCCAAAGAATAATGCTTATGGAGTTCAGCTTTAACATTATAACTGTCTTCTAAAAAAATATTTAAAGATACAACCACAAAAAATCTACTGATACATTTATGCAGAAGTATAGGTCAGGACATCATCTATAGGAGACCCCCGCCCCCCAAAGAAATTTCTTTTTTTCCTGATTTGTGGAGAATGCCAAATCACATATATGATGTTCTCTACCTTTCCACTGTGGCTGCTAGAAAAGATCAAACAAATGTGCACTTTAATTTACACATTTATGTAAAATAGACATAATGTATATATAATAAGTGTATTATATTTATATAGAACTTATACATAACAAATATATATGTGAACTCTAATAGTGGTTTTATGTGGTTCTACTTATTACATAGCAACTCATTCCAAGTCTTTGTTCTCTCTACATTTTCCCTAATTCTAATCTCTAGCTTTCTACACTTCTCCATTTGATTATATGGAAACCAAGTACAAAATAAGCAAGCAACTCACGTGAGACTTGGTCATTTTCTGCTTCTCTTCCAAAAGAGCAGAGGTCTGAAGAATCAGGACTGAGAGACAGACTAAGTCTCCAGGGGCCATTTACCATCTAGAAACAACCACCAACAGAAGTCAGATGAAAAACAGGTTGCCCCATAGAAGGTCATTTGATCCTTATAGAAGGATCTGTATGCACCATGTGAAAAAGTCCTCTTGTGATTATAATAGGATCACATAGAAAATGTACAAGGTGATTTTTAATTGGATAAACGAAGTTATTTCTGTTGATACACAAACACCTTAATGTTCCCCTTTGAATCAGCAATTCTATTTGCAATTCTATCTGTAAGACTCTATCATAAGACAATAATCATGTCTACACATATACATAAGATTTAACTGCAGATGGAGCAGTTCCCTGACAATAGAATAAGAATGACCAAGTAGAAAACTAAGGAATGCACCCATATTCCCTAGACGTAAGCAGCCAGCAAAATCCTAAGAGCTCTTTTATATTTTCCCCTAACCCAGCAAATTATCTTGCCAAGTCAATATTCAAAGACTAAAATTGTTGATTTTGCTGATTTTAACATGTTTTTTGCTTAAGATTTTATTGTTGATTTCCAATAGTGCAGTTATCTATATAAGAAAATCGTGACAGGTTAGAACCATTGATAAACAGGAATACAGTACAGTGCAGAAAGATACTTACCTGGTGAATTCTTCTCAGTCCCAGGATGGATCATCCAGAGAAGGCTGTACTCATTCACAGGAAGTGAGTGCTCCCATGATAGGTAGACTGTTTCATATGGGGTTATCCCAGGCTTTGTCAAAATGAACCTAGAAGGAAACAATTAAATAGTCAGGCTTCTCTCTGGACACTGAGCTCTGAAACAAGTAAATAACAGGTGTTTAATAAATGTTTGCTGAACAGAATGTAGAACAAATTCAATAAATAGGAAGAAACAGGGCTGAAATCACACCTCATGTAAGAAAAAGAAAAAGCAGCTCTCACATTTCAGAGCTGGTCTGGCACTCAAACTCTCCTATTTAATATAATTACACAGAGTATCAACATCAGACAAGGCCACTCAGTGACCAAGGGAATAAAACAAAAACAAGCCCTCTCTGAAGTCATGTCTGAACACAGACAAAACATCCACATTGTCCAATCCACAAAACACCCTCTCTCCTGGTTAACATGAGTGACTGCTACTTCCTCACCTATTACAGCTTTAACTTCAGGTTAGTCTTTCCTCTCTCCAGATGTACTGAAATTCCCAAACAATGAATTACCCCACTTCCTTACAACATCCAATTCAGAGCAAGGTCCGAACTCCCTTAGGCCCTCCTCGAAATCACCTAACACAAATCCTGTAAGTTCTTTCTAACACGCTCTTTCTGAGAAGCCCCCACTTTCCCCATGGTGTAACTAGATGCTAGAGCAATAAACCCAATCTATTCAACTACAGGGTGTTCCTGGAGGTCTTTGGCTAGAGAGAATCGACAATAATAATGTTATTTCTTTAGATTTGTTTGGTCTTACATTCAAAGGATGTTTTCTTCTGTGAGCTTTTGAGCGATGGAGGGAGATGGTGATTTGAGAAAACATCTGAGGAGGGGCTTCAAGGTGGGGGCCACCTCGGACGGACTTTTACATAAATTTTACATAAATTGTAAAGTTTTCTCACTAAACCAGGACGGACCTTTATCAGCCACTGGCTGAATTAATGACTCCTACAAATCACTGAACCAGCAGGGGCAGAAATCACAAATCCCAAAGAGCACTTCCAACAAACCCCCAACACAAGACTAGCCATATAGGTTCACGAATCACTGGTCATATGGATACTCCAACAGCGCACAGACCTGCCATCCCTGACTCACAGATCAGACAGCTCTCCTTATTACTGACCTCTACATGTACCCAACACTCATCCCACAGACTTCCCATCAGACTCCATAGACCTCCAATTGCGGACCGCCCCTCCAATATCAACCCCAAACTTCCTCATGACTCAATCCATAAATCCCACTTCTACTCCCAGCTCGATTATCAGGTCCGGAAACGTCCGTCACAGTTTAACCCGGGACAGCTGTCATGGATTAACGTGATTAACACCCGCTTCCTGACTGGGTGACCACAGCGCAGGGCTCTCAAGCATGCGCCGAGCTATTCTGCGCGGTTTTGCCCACTCCGCATTCTCTGCGGCTTTGTTCAGGAGGCAAGATGTCCGCCCCCATGCGCTGTGTCTCACTGCGGAAGCCGCCATCTTGAGAACCCGGACAATTCCGTACACGAGGAGGAACTTGGTTTATTCCCAGCCTGAGTTTGGACCGTGTCTGTGCGGCGGCGAGGGGAACGGGTAAAATGACCGAAAGGAAGATTATATAAACCCGTGTGGGGCAAAGTTTTGCCGAGAGCTTTTAAAGGATCGGGGAAGAAGGTGCAGTAGTGCAGTCCTTTATTTGAAGACTAACTGGGGAAAGAGGAATTTGGAACGGTGGAATCCTTTTGCAGGGATTCTACTTCAAAGTGCTGGTAAATGGTACAGCCCTATACAGGGGGATTCGCCCTATACAGGGGGATTCGCCCTATACAAGGGGATTCCACTGTAGGACAGAGGGGCAAAAGTGATGGAAGAGCTCATGGGGGGGGGGGCG